ATCTCTTCCAAGAAAACCTGAAATGGGGTCACCAAGAGTCTGAAACAACTCAACAACAACAGCAGGTCACACTAAAATTTTCTTTTTTTTTTTCTCAAAGAATACCAGAAATATAAGTAATTACTATGTGGAGCAACACATTCTGAACAAATTATATTTTTAAAAAGAATCATCACAAGTCCTATTTGAGGTCTATGCCTTCTTAGAATCCCTTTAAATATAAAAATAATGCAATTAAATGCATTCTACAGGCTCCTAAAATGTAATGAAATATGAGACAAAAAGTGATACAAAAATGCATTATTTCTGCATAAAGTGATTTTTTAATGTGATTTTGGAAAGAAATTAAAAAGCTATATCTAATTATATAAGAGAGAGAGAGAGAGAGAGAGAGAGAGAGAGAGAGAGAGAGAGAGAGAGAGAGAGAGAGAGAAATCTAACTATATATGTTGCTAGGAACCAATAATCTTATATCAAATATTCTTTACCACATTCTATAAGTATTGCTTTCCCTCAGAACATTTTCACTAATACAAAATGAATTTATTATATCACCAACTTTCCTATCTCATTAGATAAAGGAACACTGTTCCTCAACATTGTTAAACTACACCGACCTGCACTGACTTCCATGCTGGCAAAATGAGAGATGTACATATTACATTTGTTTTGCCAATCACAGATGGTGTTTTTGAACTTCACTTTTCTGTTCAAGTATATGTTAACCACTAGATAAGTTAAGAACATAAGTGGTCTTGTACATTTGGGAGTGCTCTTCAATGCTAGATCCTAACCCATCTATGCTGGCCCATCCTATTCAACTCTTACATAGGTCAGAGAAGCTATTGGACAAGTTTTGTAGGGTATTCTAAATATAGGTTAATATCCAGACAATAGCGTGTGGATGGACAGGCCAGGATCTCTTGCGTGGTTACAGGTGTGTTCCAGGAAGCTCTGCAAGGTTTTGGAGCTTGATGAAATCTTTACAGTCAGTAAATCAACGCAAATCTGGAGGACATCACTATTCACAGACAGCTTTTTGATCTTGATTCTGCACTGAATCTTCTCTTCATAGGGGCTTAGCACTTTAGCAAGCATACCTGTTCTATACCTTGCCTGGTGATTATTATCAGAGGGTCCGGGTTATTTCTGTCGTATCTTTCAATGGTAGTCATTTTGATGCATGGATGGGAACAAATTGTTATAGAAAAGCTTGCAAGGTGCCCTTTTGTTCTGAAGAATCAAATGCTTTTTTTTTTAATTGAATGATAGAACCTTATAGTCTCTAACTCAGGTTATTTTGAAATGATGATTATGGCCCTACATAGCTGGAGAAATATTAATTGCTCATTAGTAAGATGGGCAAATAAAGTAAAAACAACAAAACTATCTAAATTTACTTATTTATTCAGAGACACACCAAATAAATGACCAACGGATTATTTTATAGAGCTAAAAAATAATGAAATTCAAATGGATGAAAAGAAGAACAATGATCTCAAGAGAAGTAATAAAAACAAGTGGAAAATAGGGGGGCCTAGAAGTATCAGACATCAAGCTATATTATAAAGCGGTAATCATCAAAACTATTTGGTACTGGATAAGAGAGGTTAATGGGTGAAATAGCTTAGGCATGCAATACGCATAAGTAAATGAACACAATAGCTTACCATTAAATACACCTGATGACCCTAGTTACTAGGATAAGGGCTCACTATTTTGACATGAAACTGCTGTAAACCTTGTAAGCAGTTTGATAGAAATTAGGTATAGAGCAATATTTCACATTTATACCATGAAAAAATCACAAATGGACACATGAAAAACATAAAAAAATGACATCATAAACAAATTAGAGGAACAAGGAAGAAATTATAGACAGGGGAAGAATTCATGACAACATAAAGGCTAGAAAGAATTACAGGAAACAAAATGGACAATTTTGATAATGTGAGATTAAAAGTGGTTTTGCACAAACAAAACCAATGCAGTTAAAATTATTAGGGAAAGAGTTATCTGGGGGAAAAACAACTTTGCAGCAAGTTTCTCTGATAAAAGTGTTGTATCAAAGATATATAAGGAATTTATTCATTTATTATTAAGCTATGTCTCAATAGGTCAAAGAATATGAATAAGCAGATTGCAAGAAATCTAAGCTATCCATAATAATATGGAAAAATATCCAAATAATTAACAATTGGAGAAATGTAAATCAAAGTACTTCTGAAGTTCCACTTCATACCCACTGGGTTGAAAAAGTTGGCAAAAGAGGAAAATGACAAATGTTGGAGGGGTTATAGGAACATCTTAATGTCTTATTCATTAAGACATGAGTTAGTCCAGTCATTATCAGAAGTGATATGGAACTTTGCTTCCCAAATAATAAATTATGCATATGCTCTGACCCAGCTATACTACTCCTACTAATTTCATACAATTGCATGAGATCAAAGAAAGAGGAAAAGAACTTATATGGACAAAAATATTTATAGCAAGTCTTTTTGTAGTAGTAAAAAAATTAGAAACTAAGGGAGTACCCAACTGTTATGGAATGACCATGCAAATTATGGTATATGTGAATGTAATAGAATATTAGAGTCATAATAAATGATGAAATAGACAGGTTCAGATGAAACTTGGAAGATTTCTATGAAATTATGAAGGATGAAGTGAATAGAACTAGGAAACAATTTATACAATGACAACAATTTTTTTGTAAATTAAACCATGCTTCTGCTTCTTTCCATTCTGGAACTTCTTTCAGTCTCTGGAATCTCCTTACTCTGGAACAACCAACCACCTCTGCAGCCTTTTCAATCTGGATTATCTCTCTATAAGACTTTCCCCTTTCCCCCATTGATCATTTCCTCTTGGGACTTCTTTTTGGGCAGGGGTACAAGTCAGTCTTCATTCATCTCCCAGTCCTGTTCCTGACTTCCAGATTTTAAAACCATGGCCCAATGCCAAATACCTCCTCCTCTCCCTCCTGCTTTTCCAGCCCCCTTTGCTGTGTTGTCTTCCCCAATTAGACTAAGTTCCTTGAGGTTAGGAACTGTCTTTCTTTTTGCTTATTCCTGCATTCGTATTTCTAGTACTTAGCACAGTACCTGGCATGCTTAATAAGTCCTTCCTTCCTTCATTCTTTCCTTCCCTTTCTCCTTTCTTCTTTTCTTTCTTCCTGTCTTCTTCCTTCCTCTCTCCTTTCCTCCCTCCATCCCTCCTTCCTCCCTTCCTTCCCTCTTTCCTTCATTCCTTCCTTCCTTCCTCTCTACTTCCTGCCCTTCCTTCCTTTTCTCTTTTCAATTCTTTCTTCCATAGCTCTTTCTCAGTTTTTTCTTCTAGCACTCTCATTCATCTCTTCCAGGAATTTGGAGTTGAATTTGTCCCTAAGCTGTATTTTCCTTTGAGGCTTTGCTTCTAGATGCTTTGGAGTCATTCCCTTCTGGGTTTGTGTCAAGTGTCCCTATCATCATGATAGTTTTTTAAGGTGGGATTCTTTTTTTTGTTTGCTCATTCTTCAGTCTACTTCATACTTCAGACTTTCTGTTAGGGCTGGGATCTGTGTACTTCCTTGGGGAAGGCCTGCTGTTGCTTTCTCTGGGTAGTGAGAGGGAAAGCCCAGGCTGAAGACCTGCTAGCTTTCAGTGCTCCCAGAGTGATCTTATCTGGGGCAAAATCTGATTGCTGTTTTTCCCCCCTGCACCACTTGGCCTCTCACCTAAGCTCTCTCAGTTTCCGATGTGAGTTTCATCTGAGCAAGACTAGGTTGCTATTGGACTCATCCACTGTCAGCCAGCTGAGTTCTGATTTAGAGCAACAGAAGTACATGCTCTGCTTTCGTCTGAGATTCTTGTCCTGGTTATTCCTTTGGAGGTTTCAGACTGGGTTGGATTTGGAACTGAGACCCCATTCTACCCCTGGGGTCACAGCAACACAGATGCTGCCTGCTTCTGAACTCAGTCATTGTTGGGTACAGAACGAGGGTTCTTGATAGCTCTTCACCCTAAAACACCAACCCTAGATGCAGGTCTCCTCAGTCTGCCCTGAATCTGCGACCCTTAACTCAGTAGTGAGCAAGAGACCAGTTGGCATTTATTCCTGTACCCCACATAAGTTTAGACCCCTTTATGCTGCCTTTGAGGCAGTTAGTAGCATAGTGGCTAGAATGTTGGGCCTATAGTCAGGAAAATTTGAGTTCAAATCCAGCCTCAGACACTAACCAGTTATATGACTCTGAGCAAGTCACTTCTCTGCCTCAGTTTCCTCTACTGTAAAAAGGGGGTCAGTCTTATCTTACAGAGTCATTGTAATATTTGTAAAAGGCATTAGCACATAGTTAGTGCCTGGCACGTAGTAGATGCTAAACACTTAATTCCTTCCTTTCTCTGTCCTCCTCCTTGGGATCTTCTTCTTCTTCTTCTTCCTCCTCCTCCTTTTTTTGTGAGGAAATTGGGGTTGAGTGACTTCCCCAGGGTCACACAGCTAGTTAAGTATCAAGTGTCTGCATCTGGATTTGAACTCTGGGACCTCCTGAATCCAGGGCAAATGCTCTATCCACTGTGCAACCTAATTGCCCCTGGGATCCTTTTCTTGACTTGGTGACATAGACTCTCCCTGCACTGGGGTGCAGCACACTCACTCCTGGCTAGACCCTGTCCTTAGCATCTGCAAGTATCTCTATCTATCTCCCAAAGGTGATCTGGGTTCAGATGACAACTCCACATGCTTGCCATGTGAAATGAGGCAAAACATCAAGCCTGTTTTCCCATCTCTGAACAGGGACATGAGTTCTACCTCCAACCTCATGGGATTGCTATGAGGAAAATAATTTGCAAATCATAAAGTTCTATTTGACATGCCAGTTATCCTTTTCCAAGTAACTGAGTTGTTAATTTCTTTGTTTTTGTTTTTAAAACATGTATACAGGACTGTGACTTATTTCTTTTGACAGGGGTAAAAGAAGAGAAAGCTAACTACTGTATTTTTGGTTTTCATTGAAGGAACTTCTGGGTCCTGCTTGGAAGAATTTTACAGCCATTCTTTTCACCCATGCAGAAAAACTAGAAGAGGCTCGACTCAGTGAAGAGGAATACTTACACACTGCTTCTCATCCTCTATTAACTCTGTTGCACTCTGTTCAACAGAGATATATTTTTCAATACAATCAGAAAATCACACTTAAAGAACAAAGAATAATAGAATTTGTTAAAGAAAATTGTTACCAAGCACTTTATTTTAAATAAAAGGACTTGGCAAGTGTGAATTCTTTTAAAATAAGCTTAATGATGAAAGCTATTATGTTGAAAAATAATTCAAATGCTCATTTGAAGAACAGTAGTCTCTAACCTATAAACATGCTGTTATAATTTTTATGAGTTCAATATTTTTGAGTTTAACACAGAATATGTTTTCTCATAGATGGGATATTTTCTGGTTATCATCTGGGTTCCCAGGCTAGGTCATAAAAGTCCATTTAAGTCACTGATACAGCTGGGTGGCAATGTGGATAGAGTGCTGGGCGGCACAGTGGATAGAGTGCTGGGCTTGGAGTCAGTACATCCTGAGTTCAAATTTGATCTCAGACACTTATTAGCTGTGTGACCCTGGGCAAGTCACTTAACCTCTGTTTGCCTTGGTTTCCTCAAATGTAAATGGGAACAATACCACACATCCTGCAGGGTTGTTGTGAGGATCAAATGAGATATTTGTAGGTGCTTAGCACAATTCAAGGCATATAGTGGTTGTTGAGTTGTGTCTGACTCTTCATGACCTCATTTCAGGTTTTCTAGGCAAAGATAATGGAATGGTTTCTATTTCCTTCTCCAGCTCATTTTACAGAAGAGGAAACTGAGGCAAATGGGGTCAAGTGACTTGCCCAGGGTCACACAGCTAATAAGTGCCTGAGGTCAGATTTGAACTCAGGAAGATGAGTCTTCTTGACTCCAGACCCAGCATTTGATCCACTGTACCAACTAGCTGTCATTTAAATGCTTATTCCCCTCCTTTCTGAGAACCTAGTCACCACATATAACACTGTTTCCATGGGAAAATGTGTTCCAGATTTTAATTTTGAAGTTACATTTCTACTTCCAAAAGTGGTAGATTCTTGGCCCACTATTGTTTTCCTATATAGTGATGGGTCCAGTGTTGGGTGGCGGGGACTCCAGGAAGCAAAATTTGCACCCACAGAGGTAGAAACGCTATAGGCCAGGGTGCTGAAAGTAGAGGGGATGGAAGGGACAGGAAACATGGCAAGGTGACTTCTCATTTTTAGATCACTTTATAAATTGAAGGCTGCTGGTAGTCACCTATATAATTTAAATTCTTTCAGTACAAAAGCACTAATGTCATAAAAGAAATACTATTATTTAGCACACGGTCCTTGTGTGAATAAATTATAGAAGATGGGCCTTCTTAAAGTCAGAGGCCTGCAGAGGGGAGGCAAGTTCATCCTCAAACTGCCATCTATAATATGAGATCATAGACTGAAGCACAGAGAGATTAATTAACTGGCCCCAGGTTACATAAGGTCCCTAGACCACCTAGTGTTCTTTCTATTCTACTCAGGCTTCTTAGCCATTTTTGTGTCAAGGACCCCTTTTCAGAATGTTTTAAAATGCGTAAAATAAAGTACACAAGATTACAAAGGAAACCAATTATGTTGGAATAGTTAACAAAATACTTTTAAAAGTTCATGGACTCCAGGTTAAGATTCCCTGCACTACACCATGCAGGTCATCCAGTCTATTGAGTTTACTCATTTCACTATGAGGATTAAATTTACACAAAATTGACTTTAGAAAATGCCAGATTATAGTCAAGGCAACCTTTATAAACTGGGGGCAGGGAGAGGGATGGGACAGGGCAGGGGAGAACAGTCTCCAATGTAACTGAGACATGGTGGCTCAGCTTTTCCTCTAAGATTTCTGATGAGGAAGAATCCACCACTTCTTGAAATAGTCTGTTCCACTTTTGGACACCTCTGATGGTCAGTTTTTTCCTGACACGAAGCCTGTATTACATGCTTCTTTTTACTTCCAATCATCATTCCAGGTTCTGCCTTCTGGGATCAAAAAGAACAAATCTGAGTTGGGTATCATGTTCCTTGCCACTTTTTTTTTTCCTCGAGGTTAAATACCCATCTCCTCAATCACTTTGTATATGGCAAGAACTCTAAGGCCTTACCATCAGGGGTCTTGTATGTGGTATAATGGCAACTTAAATAGAATTGTTTATAAGGACAGGTTTTGGAGTAATAGAATTATCAGAAGCACACATGCAGCTGTGTATTGTCAGAAAGGTACACTTCTTAGCCACTTCAAGAGGAAGAGGGGAAATTCAAATTTACATCACTTCTGACACCTTCCTCTAGCCTTATCTGTCTTGGGCCCACATGAAGTTAAAAAAAAATTCCTTTTTTGGGGGGGGTGGGGAGGGGGAGAGGGAGGATATTTTACAGTTTAAAGATGACCAGATCTTAAACATACACATGGACTTCTTATGACATCAATTCTGGAATAGAATTGAATGGAAAAAAAAATTTGCCCATGACATGCACTTCATAGCAATGTTTAGCAGCTGGTTTTGATGGGTCTTCTCACTGTCATTACAAGTTCTTCCGCTGAGGTCTTCGTTTCCTTTGTATTAAAGATACACTTTGCTGTTGTCCAGTTTGTTACATCTGACTCTTCATGATTCCATTTCAGGTTTTCTTGGCAAAGATACTGAAGTGGTTTGCCATTTTCTCCTCTAGTGGATTAAGGGAAACAGAGGTTAAGTGACTTTCCCAGGGTCACACAACTGGTATCTGAGGCCAGATTTGAGCTCAGGTCTACCTGATATCAGACCCATTGCTCTATCCACTATACCATCCATCTATCCCAATTAGATATGCTACTTCATAGAAATACTTTATCAGTCCTCAACACTGCTTGTTGTTCTCAATAACATTGCTTTGCACTTCAGTACTGCTGATGCTGTTTCATTGTGAGCATGGAATGATCCTTGTAACATTTGTTCTCCTCACATCAACAGCTGCTGCAGTATCCTGCAACAGTCACTTCAAGTGTGTTCTTCGGTTTTTGGTTTTTTTTTTTAATTTTTTGTTTGTATGTTCTTGAAGAGCTGTGACTTTTGCATGGTTCTTTGGAGTGATATCCTTTCTTAAAAACCACAAAATTAAAAACAAAGTAAAACTAATAAAATATGTGTAGGGTACAAAATCCAGCACTCATGCAAATGACAGGGCTACCTAAAGGTGGAGAAACTAGCTCAATCTGTCTTAATCTGGTCAAGATTTGATATTCAAACTGTGAGTGAAGCACACACAAATGACTATTTTTGTCAGTGAAATATCAAAATTGTCACTTGTCCCAAGTAATTCATCACCATGGCTGAAGTTAAAAAAATAAACAAAACAAAAATACTCCAGAGGAATATAAACCAGTTTTGTATGTACTAACTTAATCCTCATTGCAAAAAGAAAGTTGGGTGTTGTGTCTCAGAGAACATCACCAGACCGAAAACAGACAGGACGGAACCTGAACTCCCAATGTGTACCAGAAAACCAGAAAATCCGTAACTTCAATATGGCCAATCTTCTTTTCACAAAGTAAAATAGTCACTACAGCAGGCAGCCAGACAGCTACAGTGTAAAGGAAACAGTGCCTCTATTTGGAATTGGAATAAAGCGGAAGGAAAAAATATTACATTAATAACTTTTGCAAAACGACCCACTGAAGAAAAATAATAGTGTAGGAGAAACAGCAGTGCACTTGTTAAGTCCAGAGAGACTGGGATTTGAGTCCTGCAACCATCACTTATTTATTGCTCCATCCCAGTGAACTGGCCCAGATAGTTTTAGATTATATATAGTAAAACATCAGTGCTAGCTAGTTTGCTTGCTTTTACTAACTCAACCTGAGCTGGAATTTGCCTTTATAGAATAACAGAGTATACAGGAAAATAGAGTAGCAGAGATTACAGGAAGATACCTTAGTAACTTTAAAACATTTAAAAGAGCTTTAACATAAAAACTTATATATACCTTAACTCAGTGCATTTAGACCATGCTGGGAAAATCTGGATAATAAATGATTCAAATATATAGTTAAATAAAAAAAGGAAATGGAATCAATGAGTCAGGCAGAAAAGCCTTTTTCATCCCACATAATTGCAACTCACTTCGGACCAAGGAATGTTTTGAACTTTATTTTGTATGTGGTAACAAAGAATGCTCTATTCTCATTTAGTCATGTTTAACTTCTTGAAAACTTTCTTGAAAAATGTAGAATTTTCAAAATTTTTAAAAATTTAATTTATTTGTAGTTTCCAACATTCACTTCCATAAGATTTTGAGTTTTAAAAAATGTAGAATTCTTTGTATGGGTAGCACATACTTGACTCCAAACTTTGCATGTGTGTGTATATCTATATCTATATATATGCATACATGCATTGCAAACGCTTTATTCTACACCTTATTGTATATACTGATCTAAAACCAGTCCTCTCTTAGTTCCGGTTTGATGTTGGGACAAAATGAGGTACTCCTAAGTCACTGAACATTTAACGAAAGAGGAGGTTTACTTTGCCCTATTACAACAAGGACATGCAACATGGATTTACAGCAAAGACATAGCAGCACTTAGCTCCTTGGATGCGGCCCCCTTTATCTCTATGAGGAAATATGCCTGGTCAGTCATCAGGATATAGCCATAGGCCAGAAAGCTGTGGGCCAATTAGAAGGCCCCCATGGGGGTGGGTAGGAATCATACCATGGAAGCTGATAGGGAAGTAGCAGGCAAAGTTAGTTGTGTGTGGGGAGAAAGCTGTGTCAGGGTAAGGAGGGCTGCGTCAGGAAACTGCTGTCCTATCACAATAAGTCATGCATGTCATTTAGGGGTTACTTTGGAGGATCCTCGTCTTAGCCTCCCCTATTAGCTCATTAGAGACAGAAGCTCTTTCATACATCTTCTCAGCCTTTGCTAAGCCATACCGTTTGCATCCTAGGCTCTTCCTCTGCCCCCTTTGCACTCAGCCTCCCAGCCCTGATTAGCTTTTAGCTTATCTTACTTGGTTCTGGACCCATTATATAGCTTCCCAGCCCCCCACCTAACCATATTGCCATTCCTTACTCTCTGCCATCTTGCTCCAATTCTTGTTCACCTGTATGTGGGTTCTTTCTCCATTAAAATGTAAGCCTCTTGAAGGCAGGGATTACCTCGCTTACTTGTATCCTGTG